AATGGATGCCAACCATGCCGTCCGGCGTTGCTCATGTCTCGGTATGTCTACGACATGTGCGAATACCATCGCGATGTCACCATTTTGCTGCTAACGCTGTTGTGTGCCCCCTCGCAAACCACTTGGTGCTCGCGCTACCGGTCTTGTCAGCCTGCATCAATTCGGATTCTCCCTGCTCCGTCGACATCGGAGATTGCGCATCGGACGGAAGCCGGGCCATTTCTGACTCCGATACCACCACCGACACCGATTCCGCGGGCTACCTGACGACATCGACAACCACGTCCACAACCGACACCATTTACACCTCGATGACGACGAGCGAGACCGAATGCGCCACCGAAGTGGTGGCTTGCAACGATGACACGGAGTGCGTAGACTGCTTCACGTCGTATGCTGCACTCGTGGAGGGATGCCTTGTGTCAGCGGGTGGTACCACCTGCGATGATCTTGAAGGAGCTGTGTGCTGTGCGGTGGATGGCTGCGAGGACAACGATGGGCTCAATGACCTCTTAGGTGCGTTCTTGGTTGTCTTGTGTCTGCGGAATCGCTCGGTGTGTGTTAAGGATGACCGCGTATGTCCGGGGCTTATTTGGGTGGAAACCTCGACCTCTGCACGTGAAATTGAGATTTGTTTGTGATCGGCGGGCGACCAACATATGTCAGAAATGGATTCCAGTCGTAGCTCCCGTAACCCGGCCGGCGTTGCGCATGTCTCGGTATGTCTACGACGGATGCGAATAACACCATGCGGTTAACATTTTTACCACCAACACTGTTGTGTACACCCTCGCAAAACATATGGTGCTCGCGCTGCCTGTCTTGTCAGCCTGCATCAATGCGGATACTGGTTGCTCCTTCGACCTTGGAGATTGCGCATCGGACGGAAGCCGAGCCATTTCTGACTCCGATGCCACCACCGACACCGATTCCGCGGGCTACCTGACGACATCGACAACCACGTCCACAACCGACACCATTTACACCTCGATGACGACGAGCGAGACCGAATGCGCCACCGAAGTGGTGGCTTGCAACGATGACACGGAGTGCGTAGACTGCGTCACGTCGTATGCTGCACTCGTGGAGGGATGCCTTGTGTCAGCGGGTGGTACCACCTGCGATGATCTTGAAGGAGCTGTGTGCTGTGCGGTGGATGGCTGCGAGGACAACGATGGGCTCAATGACCTCTTAGGTGCGTTCCTGGTTGTCTTGTGTGTGCGGAATCGCTCGGTGTGTGTTAAGGATGACCGCGTATGTCCGGGGCTTATTTGGGTGGAAACCTCGACCTCTGCACGTGAAATTGAGATTTGTTTGTGATCGGCGGGCGACCAACATATGTCAGAAATGGATTCCAGTCGTAGCTCCCGTAACCCGGCCGGCGTTGCGCATGTCTCGGTATGTCTACGACGGTTGCGAATAACACCATGCGGTTAACATTTTTACCACCAACACGGTTGTGTACACCCTCGCAAAACATATGGTGCTCGCGCTGCCTGTCTTGTCAGCCTGCATCAATGCGGATACTGGTTGCTCCTTCGACTTTGGAGATTGCGCATCGGGCGGAAGCCGAGCCATTTCTGACTCCGATGCCACCACCGACACCGATTCCGCGGGCTACCTGACGACATCGACAACCACGTCCACAACCGACACCATTTACACCTCGATGACGACGAGCGAGACCGAATGCGCCACCGAAGTGGAGGCTTGCAACGATGACACGGAGTGCGTAGACTGCTTCACGTCGTATGCTGCACTCGTGGAGGGATGCCTTGTGTCAGCGGGTGGTACCACCTGCGACGATCTTGAAGGAGCTGTGTGCTGTGCGGTGGATGGCTGCGAGGACAACGATGGGCTCAGTGACCTCTTAGGTGCGTTCCTGGTTGTCTTGTGTCTGCGGAATCGCTCGGTGTGTGTTAAGGATGACCGCGTATGTCCGGGGCTTATTTGGGTGGAAACCTCGACCTCTGCACGTGAAACTGAGATTTGTTTGTGATCGGCGGGCGACCAACATATGTCAGAAATGGATTCCAGTCGTAGCTCCCGTAACCCGGCCGGCGTTGCGCATGTCTCGGTATGTCTACGACGGATGCGAATAACACCATGCGGTTAACATTTTTACCACCAACACTGTTGTGTACACCCTCGCAAAACATATGGTGCTCGCGCTGCCTGTCTTGTCAGCCTGCATCAATGCGGATACTGGTTGCTCCTTCGACCTTGGAGATTGCGCATCGGGCGGAAGCGGGGCCATTTCTGGCTCCGATACCACAACCGACACCGGATCCCCCACCGATACATCCACCGACACCGATTCCGAAATCGATGCTACGACCGACACTGATAGTACCGCTGCTGACGACGGCGAGAGCACCGGCAGCGCGCCCCTCCCCATCGGCGATGACGACGAAGACAAGAAGGACGCTACAGACGACGCGGACCCGACCAACACCGAGTCATCCGCCACCCGTTCCGCTGCGGCAAAGGGAAGTTCGGCCGTTGTTTGGCTGATCGCCGCCGCTGCGCCCAGCCTGTGGCGCCGCTTCCAGTAACGAAGCCTAACAACTTCTCCAACGTGGCGAGACGCTTCGCCAAACACACCAATATTAGTCAACTCCT